GATTCGCATAAATAAGCTAATTAATTCTAATATTTAAACTTACACTTATAATCGCATTTAATATTTAATACCTTTAATAGAAATGTTTGAAATATTCCCGTTTTGTATATTTATGTTGACTCTTAGAAGGTTTATTATCAATTGATGTCGTTGGTAAATAACGATAAAAAGTTTAATTTTATTAAAATTAAATTAATATTATTAGTAATAATATATATATTATTATATTAGTATATTATATATATACTAATATTATTATATTAGTAATAATATATATATATTATTACTAAATCAATATTGCAGTATCCTAAGTCTGTGTCAATATTAAAACTGTCGATAAAATAGAAAATTTCATCATCTACACCTGTCACAGATTTATCACAGTGTCCGCGCTCTTAGAGTTATTATCTGTAGGTAAGTTTGGGGAATAGTTCGAACGTTTTGCCACTAGACTCATGAATTGTAACGGTAATATTGTGAGTCATAACCACCATTGCCGTGAATTCCCTCAAATGTCACGTGACTCCATCCGTGACATCAGGGATGAGCAGTTCAGCAGAATAGTAATAAAAAATAAACGTGAGAACATCCGTGGCAAATCTGCTACCCTCTACCCCCTACTCTGCTAAACTGCTCATCTGTGATATCATGGACGTGGATATCACCACGCAAAGAGTGGGGACAGTGACGCATGCGCAGGAATTCCGTACAGTGGGGCGGGGCGTCTACCGGGTGAATGTTACAATTCTAAATTGCGATCGTCGCCATCGTAGTTCATAATTATAATGTTCATTCGGTAGACGCTCTACCCTTCTACGTATTCTTAAGTCCGTGACAAAACCTCGGGTCCATGATCTCATGTCTATACACATCTGTGATTTCAACACGGTTCGTGGATTTCAAAAATATTAGGCCTATTCTCATATTTCGACAAGTGGAAGTTTTAAAAGTACATTATACAAGTTCGCGCACTCGAATGATCCGTGGATAATAAATTTTCTTCATTTACTTCTTAAACTTCCGTTATCTTAACTTACGATTACATTTATACGATTTGCATTAGTTTTCACTTATTAATAGATTTCATCTGTATATGCATGTGTTTGCTTATGTATACCCTAGATTTGTCAAAATATGTATGTAACCTGGTTGCAATCGATGATACAACTGTGTAACTTCTTCTTAGTTTCGCTGGGTTAAGCAATGTGTTTATATTATTTTAGTTTATGCGATTAAGGTATGCAAAATTTAATCAGCTGTCCGAAACGACAGTATGTCGTTCCGCAAAGACTTGTTAGTTCAATATTTAAATACAATTGGAATAAGTGTGGCACTAGCAATGCTGTGTTATCAAATGTCAGCAATAAAGTAAAAAGGTTATATTTTCCGGCATCGCATCGGGTAAATGATCATCTCGTTGAATTACTCCTGGTGTATGATTGCGTGATATGATTATAAAGAGATGTTTGTTTCAGCTTTACTTAGATGCCTATAGAGAATTCAATTCGATACGATTATTACTTCACAAAAATGAACCGATTAGAATTTGTTGTTTTCCATGGATGGGTGGTACAAGGTATTTTAGCACATCTCCGAGATGGTCGAATAAAAATAAAACAGATGAAAAACCCTCCGACGAACCTTCTAAAGATCCTAACGAGAAACCCGACAGAGATCCGAACTTTGCAATGTTGGCGAACAAAATGTTGATTCTAATGTGTGTTTGTGCACTATTATTCTGTGTGTACAAACTTGTTTCGGAGTATTATAAGGTGTGTTTTTATGATGTATTCATTTACAAATTGTTTGTTAATCGATCAGTTAATCGAGCTTTATTAATGCATACCAGGATCATTTTGTTTGGAATGATTTCTTAAATGAGATGCTTCTGAAAGGAGAAGTTAAAGAAATTCAGATCGCTGGGTCTGTAATAACTGTATTCTTTCACCCCGGTGCTGTGTATAAAGGACATAGAGTGATAAATGGAGTATTTACTGTGGTAGATTCTAATTATGCTAAAATAATAGAGGATAAAATTAGAGAAGTGGAAAAAAAAATGGGTATCTTAGCAGGTATAGTATACGAATACCCGTATATATTAATATTGTACATTTATTTAAGTAGACATTGTAATTCTATGTTAACTGTTTAGAAAATGGAATTCCAATCAAATATGTTCGAAATGAAACTGAAAGCTCTATTGCTTCTCTGATCTTTTTCGGACTGATCGCTTATTTCGTAGTACGTTACCTTCGTACTAAAAAATTTGCAAATCCAATAGATTTTATTCTACCAAAAACGAAAGCAAAATATACGCTGGTAGAACCATTTTCTAGTAAAGGTGTGCATTTCAAAGATGTAGCTGGATTAAAGGAAGCGAAGACAGAAGTTATGGAATTTGTTGATTATCTTAAGCATCCTGAGCGGTATAAAAAGCTTGGCGCTAAGGTACCGAAAGGTACTTCAAATTTTACAAATTCTGTTTATTCCTACTATCTTTTGTTAATCGATGTTATTCTTAGGAGCGCTGCTATTAGGACCACCAGGATGTGGAAAAACGCTTTTAGCTAAAGCAGTTGCAACAGAATCAAATGTTCCATTTTTGTCGATGAATGGTTCTGAATTTATCGAAATGTTAGGTGGACTGGGTGCTGCGCGTGTAAGAGATTTATTTGCAGAGGCCAAGAAAAGGTTTGACTGTTCCCGATTTTGGTTTTAGTAAAAAGGGTTGAGATGCTTATCAATTCATTTTCATTTTACCTACTTTAACAGAGCTCCCAGCATTATATACATAGATGAAATAGATGCAATCGGTAAAAAACGATCAGAAGGAAGGATCACTGAATTTGGCAATAATGAATCTGAACGAACATTAAATCAATTGTTAGTGGAAATGGATGGAATGACAACATTGGAAGATGTTATTATTTTAGCGTCAACAAACAGATCTAGTGTTCTAGATAAAGCATTACTAAGACCTGGTAGATTCGATAGACACATTTTAATCGATCTTCCTACTCTAGATGAAAGAAAACAAATTTTCGAATATCATCTGAAATCATTATCTCTGGAAGGGAAGCCAAATCAATATTCCGGATATTTAGCATATCTTACACCTGGTTTCACTGGTATTGTATGCAATTATTATCAATATATTTTCTATGTTACTGTACTTTCATCTTTCTTTCTCCTAGTCGAATAAATAATATATTTCTAGGTGCTGATATTGCAAACGTCTGCAATGAAGCAGCATTACATGCAGCAAGATACACAAAAACTTCAGTCAATGGCAAAGACCTTTTATATGCAATCGATAGAACAATAGGCGGTATTGCTAAGAAAAGCCAGACGCTAACACCCAATACGAAGAAGGTAGTTGCTTATCACGAAGCTGGGCACGCCTTGGTGGGTTGGTTATTGGAACATACTGATGCTCTGCTGAAAGTGACCATAGTACCAAGAACACACATGAGTTTAGGCTTTGCTCAATATACTCCGACAAACCAAGAACTTCATAGTAAAGAGGAACTATTTCAAAAGATATGTATGATGTTGGGTGGTAGAATTGCAGAACGTTTGAAATTTAATGAAATTTCAACGGGAGCAGAGAACGATTTAAAGAAAGTAACGAAAATAGCATATTCACAAGTACAGGAATTTGGTATGAGTCCTATAGTAGGTTTAATTTCTTTTAGTCAAGAAGAAACAAGCACGGTAAGATTGATATATGTGATATCTAAACGTACTGTGCCATTACTAGATTTTGTTAACTACGTAAAAAGATTAGATGTTGCGCATCAAAACACGATTTAAGTCATAGAAAGTAGAAAGCGTTTATGACGCTTAAACTGACACGCATAAACTTCATTAAGAATTTTAATGTTGTTCCAATGTACGATTTAATACTAGATTAATACGATTTAACACTCGTTAACTTTAATAACAACAGAAGTAAAGGCGCTCTATTTTAATTTTGTAATAATATGTAAAGGTTTGTAATTTTGTTCACAGAATACTAAAAAGATGTATAGCAAAAAATTGGCAAATTTAATGGACGCTGAAGTACGAAGGATAATTGGAGAAGCGGTTAAAATAACGGAGAAGCTGCTAATGGATAACGAAGATAAATTAAAACTGGTACGTACAACCATTGTGTAGTTTTATTTTTTAGTTTTGGTATTAATTTAATATTTTAAACGAGATTCTTTCTCTCGCAAATATATATAGTTAGCCGAAGAGCTTTTGAAAAAGGAAACATTAACATACGAAGATGTCGAAAAATTACTAGGACCTCCACCATATGGAAAGAAACGACTTGTAGAGCCAGCGGAGTTTCTTGCAGATACTGCAAGCACGTAAGCTACCTGCGTAGTATATATTAGAGGAGATATGTATAATTTGTGAATCCATTAAAGAAGAAATGATTTTAACACACATCTAATTGTATTATTTTGCACACCATAATTTTAAAAAGATAAAATAACTTACAACTTTTTTTATTCGAAAGTTTAATCAAAATTAAAATTTTATATAGTACTTTGTGAAAGAAACAAAACAAAAAAATTTTAAAGCAACTATTAAAAAAGCGAACTAATTTCATATATATATATAAAATTAGTACGCTTCCGTATAACAAAATTAAGTATTTTTTTCATTGAAAACTATAG